TAAAGAAAGTTTGGTACATATATACCATGGAATACTATGTTGCCATAAGAAGGAATGAGATCCTGTCCTTTGCAGGACAACTAATATTTAACAGTGTTCATTCATTTAATAAACATTTTCAAGGGCTTACAGATGACTCTGAAGTGAAGTTGATGCACACAGATTCCTCACAGTAATTCTCTGTCCTTGGTTCCTGACATCTCTCTCTCACTCATTTTACCTATCCACACTGAATATCCACTCCCTCTCTTTCAATCAGCCCAATTTGAGTAATTTCTTCTCAGCATCTAGCTCCATATGCACTCATAATGCCTCTTATTCCTATGAGGTGGCATCCCTGGGATTTCAGCCTCTTGGAAAAATATTTCTTTATCCTTTTAGTTCAGGTTAGATTCATTTATTTTGAACCATGATAGGACTCACTACTTGTACTTCCTAACACATTATTTGTGTTTGTACCTATATAGTCCTAATTATAGAATTACTATCTGTCTCTCCTGCTAGACTGTACTCTTCAAGGCAGCGTCACAATGTCTGTTCACTGATTGTTACATCTTTAACATCTAGCCAAAGGTCAGAGGTTACCTATTATCGTGATTATGTAAATCATGATAATCAGTAACCTCTGACTTTTGGTCCCTCATAGTAGGAATGGTGGGGTCTATGTTCATATGGAGATCTTTAGCTTCATGTAAAAGGCACAGGCTACTGTCCAGAGTCACATAATTGCAAGATTAGTGCTGGAAGATTTGAACAGTTCAAGAGAAACCAGAAATACACAACTGCATATATAATCTGTGGACTTAAACACTGACAACTAAAGTTAATTCTTTTTAAAGCAAAAGAAATCTGAGGATCAAATAGAACTCCCTGTGTGATAGCTCTACTCCAAGGGTCTCCAGTTTGCAGAATCTCAAGCAAAGGAGGATACCTTTTAGGAATTCAGTTAATACTTCCTAAGGCTTTGCTAATTCAGATTTTTTTAATTTTACAAGTCAGAAAACTCTTTTCTGAAGTCATCTAATTCTTCCCTTCTTTTATTAATTTATTCATTCAATCATTCAGTCTCTGTGCTGGCTGGGTCCTATGCCAAGTACAGAGCAACTAACCATGAGTTCATTTTACATGTAATCTGTGACTTCCAATGGCTTCTAGTCTCATAATGACAACATTATACTTATGAAACAGACAGTATTCTGAGTGGGTATTGCTACAATAATTTGTAATGTCTACTTTTGAAGGAGAGTCTTAAGAAGGTTATGCTCTATCTTTGTAGTTCACAAATCTAAGTGGAGAGACAGAAGCAGAAAGTACAGATGACTGCAGACAAATGGTGTAAAGGAGGTTTACAAGAGGATGTGGTTGAACATAAAAGCAATCCCAAAAAAGTGAATTCTGGATGGAATGTATGGCACTGGTGGTGATTTTAAAATGTTAAAACTTCTTGTAACACTCCCTCAGCTTCACAATTTCTGGCAGTCCAGAAAACATATTTTATCTCCACTCAAGAGGGAACTGTTTCACAAAAGCTAAAGCTCTAAATTCCATTTCTTGTGTACATTAAAGACTTAATTAACTGATTGAATGACATTTTGCATTTTTTTTTCTAGTTGTTACATTCTCATTTCTTCAGTTGGTGTGAGGGGATTTTATCTCTTTGTGGGAGTTGTTTATATTACCTTAGAAGAGGCAGTGATATATATGAGAAAGCCCCACAGTGGTAACAAACACTTCACAAGGCTTTATGTTAGTTTAGTGGCAGCTGTGACCAGCAGTGTAATGAAAATCAACTGAATGTTTTGTTCAAATGTGTTTATCCAACAGTGATGAGTGAACAAAGGTCAAGTTAATCTCTTACATAGCACCTAGGACTGGATTTTCTATCCAGGATAAAAGTATGTTTTGTCCCGTTTCACTTGAACTTTCTATTTCATTCATCTTTCCATGTTGAATAATGCTCTGATGCTAACATTAGTAACATTTTTGTTATTTTTTTCTTTGAGGCAACATAGTAGTTTTTCACAGTGTTTACCATCAGGTATGCCAGCTTGGATGACTGTCTCTGCCCTGTAATGTTCATCTACTCTCTGCATAGCAAGCCATTCACCTACGTAGAACTTGTTTTAATGCTTAGTTTCAATGTTTCCATTCTGACTGGCAAATTTTTCATACTATGTGTTATTGTCCTCCCCATTTGACATCTCTAGTCCTCGCGCATTCCAAAGTCTCTGTATTCAGCAGAGATTTTGGCATTCATTATTTCTTTCTGTTCCCAGTTTTTCTTCCTTAGTCAACAAAATTGCAACATATCTACTCTCTGCTTCTTTGTTCATCTTAGAAAGTAGGAAGCCTAGAGTTACCCAGAAAACTTGAGTGTCTTCTATTCTCTGAGATTATATTTTTATTCAAATCTTCCGTCCCTCCTCTCCTCTCCTCTCCTCTCCTCACTTTTTTCCCCTCCCCTCCCCTCCCTTCCACTCTTCTCCTCTCCTACTTTCCTGTCCTACCACCACTTCTGTCATGCATTATTTAAATATCTTCCAATCCACATATTTCCATATTTTGTACATCAGCCACATGACTTTTTTTTAAATGAAAATATGACCACACATGTCCCCTACTTAAAGTACTTGAAGGACTTCTCACTGCTTAAGAGGATTAAGCTCAAACTCCTCATCTGATATATAAGTTCCATTATACTGTGTCTCCTTGTGGCTTTTCATGGAGACACCAGCCATCACTGAGATCTCCTGGTCTCTGAATGGGACATCCTTGACTTCAGTGTCTGGCTTTTCCCTTTGCTAAATGTCATAGTCATACTCCATTCCCTTCCGTCTCTCTGTCTATCTTCCCCACTTCCTTTTACTGCATATCTTCCCACGGGTGTATTGCCACATCACACTTGCTTTGAGAGCACAGTCTCTTACACTCTCAGGCTAGATTCAAGCATGGCCGTTCCACTTACTACTTTTGGGCCTTGAACAAGTTATTCTACCTGTCAGTGCTTTAGTTTCCTCATCTGTGAAACAGGGTATTACTAGTACTCACTTTACCAGGTTATTGTGAAAACTAAATGAACAAACCCATATAAAGAATTTATTATGTGAGTATGTAATAAATTATTATGACTAAATCCATAAATTTTCACATTACATTAATATCACATTTTTAGTCAGCTTAGGAATATTAAAAAGGCCAACCTGTGACAAAAAATCATAAGCAGAAGAAAGCATTCCAAAGCTATATATAAATGATTTGAGAATTACCAATTAATTAGGATCAGTCATTTTCGGTTATCTTTCATTGATTGGGATAATCAACAGATAGTTTTTGAAATTCAAGATTAAAATAAAGTGGATTAAAATTACTGAATATACCTGTATTGGAAAGGAAGAATGGAATATAACAATAGGCATCACATAATGACTCAATTGCTTTTCTAATCTCAGTTGAGTGCTTTAATGGGATATTACCAAGATTTTAAAATTTCAAAGATGATTCTTTTCTGTTTTAGGAGATTAGGAGGTTGGACATTTGACATGGTACAAACTGATGATTCACATAAATTTTGTACTACTTAACTTAGGTGTACTAATGACTATGCTATTTCTAGGATCAATCACTTGGATTTGAAGTTTGAGGCAGTACCTAGAGTCTGACCCTAAGTCATACTTAGGATCTCAGGAGACTCTGATGAACAGGTGAAAGGAGGTGCTTCCAGCTGCTTTTTGGAATGCTATTTAGATTTCTAGTTGGCTCTAGGGCCAGATCATACTTCTATTTAAAGGGTCTCAGCTAGAAGGAGTCCTGTTGCTATGATACCCAAAGGATTTTATAGTTGGGAACAGAGTGTAAGGGCTTGGATTTGATGAACCTATAACTTTAAACAAAAACTAGCTCCATTCTTGAATATCTGTGGGAGTGAAGGGAAACCTAAGGAAATGTCAGGTGGAGACCTCCTTGGCCTCCCTAGCAGCCAAGGTAAGAGTCTTCCCTAAGGCAGGCTAAATTACTGGCCTCCTCCAAATTGCTCTGGAGAATTAAGAGCTGGTCTTTGTCCACAGACTTTTTTGCCCAAGAAAGACCCTGTTGAAAGTGAAAGGGGTCCAATCATTTCAATAGCCAGGGTTTGCCCAGGACGATAGCCGAAATAAGAAATGTCCCTGACAAACTGGATCTGTGGTTATTCTAAAGCTGGAGCTAGGATAAATGGTTAATACCAAATAAAAGGGTAAACAGATTTCATTACAAATGTTTGCTCTCCCCTTCTCTGTGTGTCTTAGTTTGTCTCTCTCTCTTTCTTGCGTATTGATGACTTTCTTCTATCTTATAAAGTTTATGTGTAGCTCTCAGAAGACCCATGCAATAATAAAGATTCCCACATTAGAATTCCCACATTAAAAGAACTTCTCTTCTGTTAAAGTGTCACTATGATATAAATTACATTATAATAACATCACCTGGTGAGATTGCAATGTTTATGAAGTCCCGGTGTATTGAGATTATTAATAGTCACAATAAAGTACAATATTTTACATTTCCAGTAAGTACTGTCTATAGATGCATCTACATTTACTGTGGGTCTGGACTTGATTTGTTGCTGTTGCTTTGGAGCTTTTCAATTAGAGGCCTATATGTGAGGGGTGAAACATAAATTTAATTTTGTTTCCTCTCTGTGAAATCTGTTAGTGCATTTTGACAATTCCTTCATTAAATACATAATTAATGAGGGTCTGTGCTATATGCTAAGCACTGTTAGAGTTGATGTGTGACACAAAAATAAATAAGATGTGGTCTTATACTCAAAGTACTCACCCTCTGCCAAAATATTTTCCTTTGTCTTTTAGTGACGATTGAATCTTAATGTTTATACTTGGTATAATCCACTATTATCTGCAATGAAATATTTATGTTACTGTCAGTCTATTTAAATGAAATTTAAACATTTATTTTTTCTCACTTTTACTTCTGATCATATCCTGGGCATCTTTTCTGTGAAGCTGAGTCATCCAATGGTGGTTATTCCTGAACATGAAGCTCTTGATTCCAAAGAGGTAAATGTAAGATAGGACTGGACATCTAGTTATCCATTCCCATGTGATTGTAGAAATAAAGCAATATTATTTTTTTAATGTTAACAAAATTGTGCTTTTTTTTTTTTAAAAAAAAGAAAGAATTATTACTAGCTCTTCCACTCTGTAGGTCAGAAGGATTTGACAGTGAAATAAGCAAATTTATGCTGCCTCTCAATGTAGAACGTAGCACTAGAGTTCCCTGTGTGTGATAGCTGGACCACATATCAACTCCTGCTCTGAGTGCCTGTCTTTGTGACTTCCTTTTTGGGTTCATATGTGACATCACTGTTGTCTTCTTTCTCTAGAGGATCATTGAATGTCCCATAATCCATATGGTGTGTTTTGGGGTCAGAGACACGATATTTCATGGTACCTCAGTTTCAGTTCATAGGAAGGTGACTGCTAGGCTCACTGAGTACCCACAACTCCACCTTCCCCAAGTGAATTTTATATATGCCATGCAGTATATAGACAAAGGCATACTAGCTCAATGATAGCCTCTACATTTCATGTAAATGTTTATCTATTTTAATGTTTTGAGCTGATAAGTAACAAGTAAATTCAAACAACTTTCTTAAATTTTTTAAAATGCTATATCCTAGAAACAAAGATGAAACTTCTGTAAAGAAATATTCTCTTCATGGTTTACTTTTGTATTCATCAAGAGCAAGAATAACTGAACAATATTTTCTTCTTATACATCCCCTCAGATATAGTGGAAAATGGGAGAAAAAAAGTGATTTTTGAAAAATTTATCTCTGAGAAGGGACTGAGTGAGCTCACACATTCATTTAAAATACCCTCACAAAAGAAGTATGCTTAATTTTGCAGCCTCCAAGTTTAGGAAGAAACAAGCATAATATGAAAGAGAAGTAAGAATGATACAATTCCACATATCATTTGAATTTTCTTTTCTGAATCATGTTTTCCACAAGTTAGGGCATATTATCTACTTTTCCTAAATTGGCATCCTGATTTCTGCAAATTTAAAAAGCTCTGTCATAGAAGACTGATGTGGCTTTCTGCTGTAACATTAGTTATTAAAATATAAAGTTGTGTTATGAATAGGTATGCATTTATATCCTTGACCACATCTCTGGTTACTTTTTAAGATAAGATTCTAAAAATAGGATTATAGGTTTTATGAGTATGAATATATGAAAGACTCTCAACATATGTAGCCCAATTTCTGTCCTGGAAAATTGTAGTAATTTACCCTTTGAGGAATGTGTTTAGCAATATCCGTCTCTATGCAGTCTTGCCAGCATTGAGAATTGTTATAATTGCCAATGTATTGAGAGGTACTATACATTAAAAACAGTGTGATACACTTTGTTTTACTGAATCTTCATAAAATATTCTCAAGTACTATTATAATTCCTTTTAGAGATGAGGAAACTAAGGCTGCAGGAGCTCAGTCTATTGCCTGATGTCAAATAGATAGGAAGGGTGTCCACAATCAGAAATTGAATCCAAATCTGAAAGCCTGCAGTCCATGCCTCTTGGGTGCTCTACTATTCTCTGTCTAGTGTCTATATTCATCTAAATTAGGATGTTTAATTTAGATAAATATATTTATCCAAATTTCTCTTTTTAATTTATATTTCTACCTATGTGATCTAATTCTTTTCCTTTGAAAATCACCTTTTAAAATACTTGCCAAATTAAAAGGGCAAGTTATGTTTCAATATTAACTTTCATGTTAAAATTCTGTATTTCTTCTGTTATTTTTGTCTTTATTGTTTATGTATTTTGTTTTTCACTATCTTAGGCAAAAAGATAGTGCAAAAACAAAATTTATTGGTTTGGTAATATATTTTTATTGAGTAGTAAACTCCCTTTTTATATATTAAGGTTAATAACTTTTTGTCAAATATGTTAGCTCTTTCAGTATAATGGTGGCAAATTGTATAATAGTGAAAAATTAGACAAACATATATGTCCAAAAATAGAAGAATTATTATGTAAATTTTGCACATTGAGATGAATATAAAAAATAGGAAGCTTTGTATTTCTTTCAAATACAATAATTTTGGTTCAAGTTCACATAGGCTATAACTACACAACAAGAGTGTTTCTACACAAAAAAGAGAAAATCAATGGTTGTTTAAATTACAAAGACAGCCAGTTCAGTTAACAAATTGAGAACTACTGAATGTTAGGCAATGCAAAAGACTTTGTGAACTAAAGAGAACATTATAGATGTAGTATTTGCATTTTTTACACCAATTATCACAACCCTAAGAGAAAACTTAAGATAGTGAATAAGATTGCCATAAAATGATTTTGATTCAGGTTTGGAATATCTGAAAAATGTCATTTAGAGTTTGAAGTTTAACATTTGTGAGACACAGTAACTGTTAGAAGTAAAAGAAATGTAAATAATTAAGCAAAAGGCCTTTTTGTGCTTCCAGTGTGCTGTATATTACTTCTCAGTAATATTGGCACATTTTGGAGCAATTTAACAACTTTTACAGCTTCTTATAATATGTGGTCAGACTAATATTGACCCATATATTTCCCCCAATCCTTTTCCCTGTTATTTATTTACTTTCAAAGTCAACCAAGAAACATCAATTTTATAAAGCAATTCTGTTCTTAAGATTCTATGGCCTAAAGGAATAAACCATTTCAGTTACAAACTCAGTGCAAATAAAGAATTATGGAAGAGCCCTTGATGGTATCTCACAATTTTCCCCTTGGTCTTTCTTTCATATCCTAAAGACATTAGTTTGTCTTACTTACCACCAGACTGTCATCTCTTGAATCAAATCAGAAAATTTATAGATACTATTTTTTAAAAATTAACTCAGTAATTCATTTAAATACAAACATGTGTCAGATATATCTGATTTGACTTACCCATCATTTTTATAACTCACATCCTTCCTAAAGTTCATTTAAAAGGAACTAACTCAAAAAAAAAAAAAAAAAAAAAAAAACAGTTTCACTTATCATCTAGCTCAGTGGTTCTCAACTCTGGCTGAACGTGAGAATCACCTGTAATTGACTATTGAAACACACCAATGACAGGGATCCACTGCAGACAAATTAATAAATCAAGAAACTTTGCAGGTGACAAAGGTATTGGTATGTTTTAAAATCTCTTCAGGTTATTCAAATATGTACCAAGGGTAGCAATGTTCAAATTTTTGCTCCTTCATTGGCAGCCTAGGCAGGCCAATCAAATAAATCGGTCATTCAACTCTGAAAACACAAAATAGAAAGTAAAAGTAGGAGGATCATAAAAGATTTTGTTCCAATAAATGATTTCAATTACTAAAAACTTGGGTGACAAATTCCTGTCCAGTGGCATGAAGGAATAACATATGCTTTAATTTGTGGTAGATTAATTTTGAGAGATCTGTTCTATGTTGAGATTCACTATAATTTCATTAGTAACGTCTAATTCTTTATTTTTATTTTCCTTGACATTCCATACAAGGTTTGGAAATTGCTTTGGATGAGGCTGGCATAGGATTTGGTGCAAGCTGAGTCTGGAGGCTTAGTGCATTCCAAACAATGTTTTATTTGTACTTTATATAACACTTGAAATACATGATCACTATCCACCTTCATGCAAGCAGATGAAATCCCTAAATAATTGATTTGACCATTGTGTCAGCTGACTGATTTTCAAAGAAGAATACTTTCATAGATTTTTACTGTTCACACCAAAGCAGTAATCTCTGAGTAGGTGAGTATTTAACATCATATAGGCAGAGCATACTCCCTGACTGATATGAATGATTTCTGAGTTACTTAGGAGAAAATTAATTTCTAGTAGTGACAATTATGTTTTATTGTATTTCTTGTCTTGTGAGTTCAGCAACTCTTTTATCCACAAGCACTCCATAACCTACTTCTTCTTCTAAAGGCTTAATTGTGAAAGTCATACTGCAGAGTGAGATATAAACAGACTGTCCCTTTTTATATTACCTGCTACGTGCATCCCTATGACTACTGTATTTTATTTTCAAATTGAAGGTCAATTGATTACCAAAAATGTGATTAGATGCATTTGGTTCTGACCTTTCAGGTTCATTTGTTATTAACACAACTTGAGAGCTAATCATTCACTAGCTGCTCATAAAACACATACTAGGCAAATTCTTCTCTTTCCTTATTCCTTCTCTTTGCAGATATTTTATAAACTTTTAACAAGATAACAATTCTGTTAGCAAGGTGACTATGACTTATTTGCCACTTTGGTGGTATATAAGCTTTCTGAGTTTATTTTATTTTGAATTTCAGAACCTCCATTGATGTCTAAGATTCCAATCTTATAAAGCAGGCATCCCATTCCTCTGACTATTCTTCGGATGAGAACATAGAAAAGGGAAAATAAGTCACTTGCCCGTGGAAGCCACTCTCATATTCTGGTTTGATTCAAGGGTCAAAATAAAATTATCAAGAGAAAAAGGCCCACTCTATCTTTTCAGGCAATTTTCCAAAAACATTATTTCTCAAAATGAAGTTTTGATACGTCTTGGATTGCTGAGAGTTAAAGGCTGTAATCCCAGGGGAGAATTGGGACTCTTGATATTATTACCTGTTGTTTAAAAGAAGATTTCTATGCTTTGATAGACAAATGACTACAGGACCAGGGTAAATCTGTCTTATAAAAATAAAGATACTTGATATAGTACCTGGGTAGATAGCCACCTTTCCCAGGCATCAGGTGGGCAGGGAAATAATAAAGGAAAGAATATTCCTATATTCAGATTTGGTAGCAATAGACCCATCAAAATGACTTTCTTGTGTTACAAGCCCGCAGCCTACGTTGGGGAAATGTAATTTAAAAACAAAACAAAACAAAACCTTTCTGCTAACCCTGAAGTTCCCTTTGCAAGGGTAGTAGAGAAAGAAAACCCTTTTTGTTAGTGAATAAACATTGAACCAGAATGTGATGTGCATCTTAGGCAATCTGCTAAGAGATTGCAGAGAAGAAAAAATCTCACCCTTCATATAGCCAAGTAGATAGACTCCATTATATACATATTCTCAAGATCAACAATAATTAAATTGGCCGTCAAGAAAAAATGAGAGCATCATTAAATTCACCTGGAATTTGGGGTGACAATCTATGCCTGTCTTTACACAAGGCAAAGTAAACTTCTCATCTTTAGAACATGGGGTCATTTTATAACTTTGAGCCAGACTTGAGCTAAACTTAGAGTCTTACCCTCCTTGGAAACTTTCAGAAAGGGATGCTGTCTTCCTTGATTGTTTACATTTAAAAGAGATAGTTTGCAAGTTCTTGAAAGAGACTTTTCTAGGCCTGACAAAAGGCCTACCTAGTTTTCAAAAGACTTTATATACATTTCAAAGACAGGAGAAAGTACTTACAATGAGTTTTCTAAAGTAAATGCTGTAAGAAAAAGAAGTGGGAGGGAAATCTGTCCCCTTCTGTTCAGCGGAAAGAATTAAGCTTTTCATTTTGAATTTCCAATTGTCCTTGCACTTGGTTGGCAAGAACCAGAATTAAAATCAGAGGGAGTCTGACTCTGAAGTACCCAATCAAAAGAAACAGGTCTCATGTATTTTTCTTTTCTAGAAACTCAGTTAAATCTATAGAAGTGGGTGTTTGACAATTTTGGGGTTTCTCCTCAAAGTCATCTCAGTAGATGAAAATTGGGTTTGATATTGTAGTGAGTCATTGCAAAGTTGAGCAGAAGTCAGGAACTAAAAGACCTATGAGTCCTCTGTGTGGTGGCTTCGGAAGACTATTTCTGGTTTTCCAAGAGAAACAAACAAAACAATAAGATCAGGGTTAGTAATTATCTGGAACTCACATCATCCAGATGTCACATGGTTTTGGCTCCAGATTCAACACTGTACTCTCTAGAGTCCATTCTACCTGCATTCTTTGTCTATGAGGCTGTCTTTATAGGACCTTAATTACTGAACGTTTTATGGCTTCTGGCTTATGGATAATAAACTCTGCTACCAGATCTTGTCTTTTTACACCAAAGTCAATAGTTACATAAATATACAAAATAGTTAAAATCTTTCAGAAAAAAGAATGGACATGCAGTATTAATCATATTATATACATTACTTGGAAATGGCTTTTTGTTCTCAATACATGCAGCCTGATTTCATATTCACAAGAACATATATGTAGATTATTTTGCTTTCATTTTGCGGGAAAGAGTATGCATATTTGGTTTTGCATTTCAAGGGAATGAAAAGCCAACTCACACAGCACATTCTTTTAAAAAATGCTTTCTGTAACATTGGCTTAACGTTTCACAAGAATATATTACCCATTACCTGAAGTTAACTCTAAATTAAAAAAAAAAAAAAAAAAAAAACAAGATGTTGAGCTTGACTGTGTTCCAGAATTATGACTTTCAAAACATCTTAAGTTCTTTCTTAATTATATTTTCTTATATCCAAAATAAGTGTGTTGTTTCGCTGGCAATATGATAAAATACTAAGCCTTAACTGCCAGGAAGCTAGTTTGAAAATAGGATTGATTTATTTGTTAATGATTCTTACTTTCCTTATATGTCCACCTTTGTTATTTTCAAGTTATTTAGCTCTTTACCTATACTGAGATTGGCAAAGAAAAGTAAAAACTTCACACAGTGTCTATAAAATGATGGCTCTAGCTGTCATAGCATAGTACATCATTTCCAACTAGCCGCTAAATTGTGGGGCCAAACATTTCTTTGATCTGCTGGTGGGTTTGGGAAGAGCTGAGCAATAGTGCTGAGCTTGCTGGCATGGTGTCAGAGGATGATCTGCCTATTGCCCTTCAATCTGAGTTAATGATTCCCATTATAATAAAATTTTATATTTGAGAAAGAACTTAGAAGGTATTTGTTCCAGTATTTTATTTAATGTTATAATCCCATCTACAACATATATGCTTATATATCTTCTGTTGAAACTGTCCGGTGACAGAGTTCACCATTTTCACAAGCCACATTCAATATATGTTTTAGTTTGACTAAGACAAACTAAGTAACGGCTATGTGAACAACGAAAGCAAATAGAAAACACAGAATACGCTGGGGTTTAATTTGGAGCACTATGACCTTGGGTGTGATATTGAATCTTTCTGAACTTCAGTTTTATTCTTTGTAAAATGGAATCAAATGATTGTGAAGATCTGCCTTAATGTATGTAAAGTGCTTAGTGTATAAAATACATGGTACTTAAAAAGTATTGGCCAAATGATGATCATCTCCTTAAATCTCTTGTAATATTAACTACTAAATGCTGGTACTTTCAGAAAAATCATGTTGGTGCTTTCAAAAAAAGCAAAATAATGATAATTTTTATTTATTAGAATAATTAATGAGGAGATGTGCTTGAGTCACTTCCTCGCTTTGTTCCAGGGCTTCAGAGAATTCCAGATGGTGAAAGCTACGGCTTTCTTCTTACTTTTTGCCTATTGATTTTCTATGGCCAGAATAAACCAGAGCAGTCATGGAGCCACCCCCTGTGTTAGTGCTTGTTCTCTGTCTCCTTCTTTTAGTCTAAAATGTACTTTCTTCTAATAATGCAGAATGTAACCACATTTTACAATCCTGTGTGGCTGCTTGGCTATGACATACACCTTGCACATAGGGGCCAGCTCCAAGTCACCACCACGACTTCTTCACCTCATGATCTGGCTGAAGACATAGCACAGAAAGTTGCCTACAGAAAGGCAACTGACCACCTTTATTTTCTACTGGGAATTTCGGAGGGCTCCCTTGTTAGTCATAAGTTAGAACCTGGAAATAGAAAGCTCTGGTCATTTCCTCCATTGGTGTTATTCCATCACATTGTTCTATCAGAGTCATGTCTTAGAACTAAATTTCTCAGAACTAAATTTTCTTCTTGCTTCATCTCTGATGCTTTCTTTTATATTCTCTTTTGTGCAGTCTGCCTTCACAGTACGAAATACCCATCTTCCACTCCGTTAAGTTTATCTTATCTGTTCCAGACAGTCCAACCTTATCACATAGGAACAGAGATTGAATGGGTAAAGAAATTATTGGAATCACTCCTCTACCACACAGCAAAATTGTAAGGCCAAGCAAATCAATATATGAAGGAAAAGCAAGAGATTATTTGGTCTTGGTCTTTTGTAATGTTCCCTTTTGCAAAAGCTGGGATTTAATTCAGTCCCTATTCACTTTACCTCCTTGTTAGGTGATGCATTTTGGGGAATGGTGCAGTCAATGCAAAAGTGAAGTCATCAGCCAAATAGTGGAAGGGCAAAGGTGTGGGTGGGATATAGCAGTGCTGTTCCTTAAGGTACCCCCAGCCCGTCAAAACCGTCATGATGCTTCGTAAGAGGGTAGAACTGGTCTGCTCCAAGAGATTGGAGTCTGATGCAAAGGTACAGCTGTGTGTCTTTATTATGCCAATAATAGTGAAACAAAGAAGGATCTACTTAGGGAATAAAAATAAACTTTTCTTATCATAGTATAAACCACTTTTTTATAGGAGATGCTATGCCCAAATATTAATGTATAATTTTCAGGTGTATATTTTTAAATTTATTCGTCTTAACCTGACTAGTATATTCTCTTATTTTGCAGCAATGAAGTTGGAGCAGAGGCTGAAAACACAGGCTGCTGAAGTTTTTTGGAGTGCTGGTGCTAACCACTTGCTAGATTTAACTTTTTTTTTTTTTTCCAGAATGTGTGCTCCCTTTATGAGCTGCAGTGCAGCAGAACTAAAAAAAAGTTTGCTGCAGTTACATAGCATCTCAGTGCTCTGCTAACAGCCAGCATAGGAGAGATTTACCTACAGCTTCTTGCACCACTGTTTAAGCCTTTAATGCCTTCTATCTAATATTAAGCTGACAGCAATACTAACATTCCCCTATATTTAGCAGCCAAATAAAGAAGAATCATGGGTAAATAGAAGAATGGCTGTGACTGTTTTTCAATACAAATTTTATTTAATGCATACATTACCAATTGAGTCAGGTTTCTACTTCCCCTTTGCTTCACTTTTTATTTTTTACATAAAAAAACACTCTTCTACCAAAGTAAATCATTCGCTTTCAGAAGATGCTAATATTCAGATGTTCACTGGTAAGATCTTGAACACCAGAAAGTTGGTATTTTGTTTAACAAACACTGCTTTCCTGTTCTGTTGGAATTCTGTGCTGCTGGGACAGACCATGTGCCAGGAGCAACCCAATGCTGATGAACGTTGTGTTACTGGAGTGTCTGGGATGTCATTGTCTCTCTGCCTGTCACCACATGGTTCTTGTGAAGGCTACTTTTGAGTCAGTTTGTACCCCAAATCCTGAGAGCTGTAGAGACCACAGAGCATACTTGATGATAATCCTGAGAGTCCCCTAGAGGCACACTATGTGCCCACCTTGACCGTCTTAAATTTGTTTCCCAGTTGTCATCCCCGGCAGCCTATCCTAGCGTCCTGTAAGTGATTTCCTTTTTCTGTTCATCTGAGAAGCTGAGGATAACACACATTAACAAAGAAAAGCAGTCTGGACAGTGAACCCCTGATGGTAAAGGAGCCTTGGGAAAACCTGCTTGATTCATTCTTTGCACATTGTCCATGTTCCCCTTGGAGCCAGCTCTGAGCCACAGTGATCCTAAACCATGCTTCTTTGCCCAATCCCATACCCCAAACCCAAGCAGGGAGAGTGGCTTATAGAAGAGCAGTGAGGCTCCTTCATTCTCTAATAGCCATTTTAGAATGTTCCGTTTTCAGCTATTATTTGACAACTGGAAATAGAAACTTACCGACGTCTCCTTTGTTGGTGTTAGAGAAGCAAAGGAGCCACAGTGAAGCTCTCTGCTCATCTCTCCTTCCTCCAACTAAAACCACTTATTTATCAACCTGCTAAATTGTGTGACGCATCACTTTAGATTATTAGTAATGATCTCTAGCATTCACTGTGGTCTTATTATGATCAATGCGCCACACCAAGTGCTTTACATGAATTTAATTTAGCCTCCACAATGAGCCTGTGATGTTGGTAATATTATTATTCATGTTTTATTTTTGTGAAAACAGACTCCTCCAAATGGTTAAATTAAGCTAGCAAGTGGCAGTGGCAGAATTCAAGCCCAGGTAATCTGATTCTAAGACTAGATGATAATGATTTACTCAATCATTTGTGTAGTCATTTATGCAGTCATTTTTGAATCTCCAGCGTAAAAGGGTGACTCGATTACACTTCTCAGTTCATGGCAGATTTCCATCGTAAGTTTGGGCAAGCCCCCCTCATGTATACCTGTTGATTAGTGACCATCATTTATAATAATTTCTACCTTCCCTTCTTTGCTGTAGGCACACATTCATATTTATTTAACGTATATCTTTTGCTCATATGTTTTGAAGATGTACACTGTTTTGTCTGCATATATATTTAATAAATGTAAATAGTATTGCTTACATTTGTTATATTTTTTCTCTACTCAGCTCCGTTTTTAAAGCTTTATACACATTGCTCTACAGAAATCTAGTGTATTGTGGTCTCACAGCTGCCTGGTGGAGTCTCATCACATTTTACTTATCTACCTGCCCAGCTTTGGTCTCTCAGGTTGCTTTTTTGTACCATCTGTTGTGATGCACATTCTTGCATGTGCCCCCTTGTGGACCTTTGTGAGAATTTCTCTGGAATATATACACAGGAATAGAATTGTTTAATCCTAAAGTTCGCGGTATGCTTAATTGATGAAATCCTCCCGGATTGCTTACTAGAATGAGTGCACCAATTTTTATTCCTATCAGCAATGCATTAGGTCTCTTCTAACCCCAAGTTCCTTTTCATCTTTGAAGGTCTGAGCTTTGAAACATTAGGCACCACTGTCATTGGCGGCAACTCTTAAAATGGGAAGGTTGTTTGACATGGTGTCCCATTCATCCTACATTTTCCAATTCTAAAGACTTTTATACCCTTTAACTCATTGCAATTTTCAGTTAAGTATTATTATCTTCATTTCATTTCTCAAACTAAATAACAGAGAGAGGCTCCTAAAAGAAAAATAAATTTATTTGGGAATAGAATATTGGAGTGGATTTACATATGCTATAGTAAACTATTTGCATGCATACTAAGGGAAGTAAAGGACAGCCAAGATTTTTGGAGGAAAAAATGAGGAGGATTACATGATAATTTTGAAATAGTTATCCTTAGCTACAAAAATCAGTAACAAAGGTGACATCAGTCCAAGTTTGGATAGGCAGTTGCTGTCATTGTAGAAATATTTCTTTTTGGTATAAGGTTTCCATGGCTTTTACACATGCTTGTGATTTTTGTAGAGTTTTCTGTAGTAGTTTTTGTCAGGCATACTAGCAGGAAAGCCCTCTCTTCATGGCCATTTCTGGGTCTGTCAGATTTTTTTTTTAAATGTTTGCGACTCCATTTTTATTCTGACAACTCACATGTTGCTGAAACACTTGAATCTGATGGGTTATTTGACCGAGGACACCAATTGGTGAATGGCAAATCTAGCACAAGTCATTTGATTTTCCTACTATGTTATTTCTACAAATTGCTGCATCTGAACATAATGGTCTAATTTATTGGTTCAGTTCCTTAGTAAAGAACAGAGTCTTAAGAGCATGAGCACAGGAAGGGCAAGTGTTGATTGTAGGGAGAACATGGCACATGAATCAGTGACTTTTCAGGTGGGTGAGCAGTGCATTTGGTGCACTAAGGAGGTTGGGAAGACTATGTATGTTTCTGAGGAGGCAGGAGATGGGGACAGATGATATGGAATTGCCAGGTACTGAGACCGCATCTTTATTTGGTTTCTCCCAGAAGCGAACTCTAAGACAAAGATTTAGTATAAGTAGTTTATTTGGGAAATGATCCTTGGAAACATTGATAAAGAAGTGAGGAAGTAAGCTAGGGAAGCGGGTTACTACATTGGGCAACTGTAGTTTATTTCCACTAATAAATTTGAGGACACAGGTTGAACAGCCCTCAGAGTTCATTCAATTTAGAGGAAAGGAAACTGGGTTTGTAATTCTAAAGCCTGACTATTAACATTTATGTGACTATGGCTGTGACTTCCTTCTTTATAAAGCTTTTGGTTTTTTCGGACTTTTCATTATGCATCACCAGTGGAACCCATTATTTTCTTGTGAAATTTTAATTTGGTGAAAATGGTCTTTTGAATATTGCTCTTCATAGTCTCTGAAGTAAAGTACAGAAACAAAGAACCAATTGAAAACTTAAGTAACAAGGGAATACTCTCAGAATTTTTTCTATTAGGCCAGCAGAAAAATCTGCAATTAAGACCAGGAACAAAAATTCTACTTTAACTAGACTGCTGTGGATTTCTACATGTGAATTCTTTATCAGCTAGACATTAAATCAACTGTGTGAGACGATGACTGGATTTATAAAAAAGAAAGATTGTTTTGCTTAGAGTAAATCCAGAGGTCTTAGAATAATCAACTAGTAATTAGAAAATATTTCTGGATTTGTTTAAAATACATAGTACGTTTGGGGGACAGTCCAAATATTCCTGTGGCAGGTTGTAAAATTAAATGTTATATTCTCCATATACTTGAAAATTTATTATTTTCAATTTATTTGACTAGAAATAGGCTTTTCTCTTCATTTTATACTTTAATAAAAATGCTTTAATCTCTTATAAAAGCTTTCTAGTGGATGTATATGCAGTTGCTCAATATCACTTAAGCACTTGAGTCCGTTTTTTACTTAATTGAAAACTCTGGGGATAAATTCAAAAAATGAAACCTCACAACAGGCAGAGGAAGATTCATAAATGCTAAAAAATAAGGAAAGGAAAAAACAGACAAATTTTCCCAGGAGGCTACAGATTGTGATTTAAAATATTGAACAGAATATCTAAATTAAAACAACGGAAAACTCAATTAAAAAATATGTTTAGCCAAGAGCAGGTTCTGTGGAAGAACTTAGAGAGAGGCAAAATGTTCTGATAATAAT